TCCTTGCTAATCTTCACTCGGCGGTAGAAATATAAAAATGAAGAAGGAACAGCGAAAAAACTCATTATTAGAGGGCTTACGGATTGCTGAAACGTGTTGCTGCTAATGGGAAAGAATGGCTATTGTGTTTGAGGGTTCTATAAGTGTGAGAAGAGTATAGACAGTTGGAGGGGTTGGCTCTTATATTTTGGCAAAAAGTGAAGTTCTCGATTTTTCTCTCTATTGCTCCAAGTAATGAATGGTTGATGCTAAAGATGGAGTAGGACGCTGGAGATGGGAGTTAAATAAATAATTTAAGAAAAGACAAATGATAAAAAAGAGATAATTAAAGAGAAATGGTTTATATGAAAGATAAATCATTGAAATAATAATATGGAAAATAATAGAAGCTCAAAGAGTAATAAGATCCATTTAAGAAAATAAAAATTTAAATGAGAGATGAATATCTGTAAAAATAAATAAACAGCGATAATTAAGAACAAAAATAATGTAGAGAGTGTCTAGGTTCATTGGATAAAATAAATAATTGGTAAGAGATATCAAAGAGTTTTAATGAATAATATCTTGGAAAACTATTTTATGATAGTTATAAAAAACAAATAAAAGCATAAATGCCAAAATAAAATACATGATAGAATAATTTCAGAATTAGAATTCTTTGAGATAGGATGAGAGATAAGAGCTGGAATTATTATCTCTTGGCAAAAATATTTTTTATTAAATTATCCATAAAAGGAAAATAACATTATGCCGAAATAGCCTTAGAGCATTTAATAAAATATAGATAATTAAGAATAATCAAATTCTTTTAGAAAGGAGCTCTAAATCATGTGAAAGACTAATTTTTTTAAGCTAAAATGTTTTAAATAAAACTATTTTAGACATAACCCTTTTAGGAACTGTTACTGAAATCTTTGAAAAAACCCGGTGAAATAAGAATTTGATTATTTATTTAAAAGTTATATGCTAAGTGCAAGTCCTTTTCTATTGATAATTAATTAGGACACGATTTTAAATCAAAATAAAATTAATGAAGCATTTGTAGTAAAAATAAAGTAAACACAATAATTCGTATAAAAGGGCTTTTAGATGATATTTGAAGAAATAAAATAAATCCGAAGGATTTTAATGCAAGTAAAATTTTTGAAATGCGATATTTTAAAGAAATAAAGGTTTTTCGTCCTCTCCATGAAAGAATTAAAATCATAATTCGAAATACTGTTGTAAAAATACAAGGAATACAAATATGAGATTTGAAACTGTAACTTTGTTTTAATACATGTTAAAAATATGAAATTACAGAAAATTATTTTTTTACGAAATCAAAACATGTACTTGACACATGCTGCATCAATCCACTATAGGCATATTTTGGTTTCTTTGGCTTTCGGAGGTTAAAACCGTAATTTTTGCTGCCCAAAACAGTAACAACTGATACTTTTTTAATAAATTAATTTTGAGAGAGTTTTTGTAGATTTAAAAAAAAATTCATTCTGAGTTTTTGCCAAAAAAAAAAGAAAGACTTTCACACTGATTAAACCCCAATATTCATTTGGGTACCCTCAAGTGATATTTCAATTTAATAAATCTGATTGGATGCTCTAATACCTCCATACCATAACCTATAAGATTGTCTCATTGAAGTGGCTTGGATCCACCGGTCAAAAAAGGAAAAAGATACTTACTGCTCTATACCTTAGTGTGTCATTGTTTGGCATACTAGTTGTAGATGTTGAATCCTTACTCGAGATGAAAACAGGCTTTTGAGAGACTATGTAGGAGTCTACGGTTAGGGTGGACCTGTATTGAAATGTGATAGAGCCTTTGGTTAGGATTGACTTGTGTTTGTGAATGTTAAGAGTATTAAGAAATTGTGGTCATATAATAAAGAGTTGTAGAGCCTTTGGTTAGGGAGATATTATTGTATGCCATTTGCCTTAATAAATGATGGGCTTTTGATAATATTGTATGCCGAAGCCTTGAGAAGGGTGAACTTAGTATGAAGTGCTCCACAACCTTTGGGTAACATAGATTTAGTATGCTAGAGCCTTTGGTTAAGATGGACTTGTTGAATGCCATTTGCCTTAAGAAATAATTGACTTCTGTGCTAGAGCCTTCTAAATGTTTGACTTCATAAACAGTGCCAAAGCATTTGGTTAAGGTGGACTTATTATATGTCATTCACTTTAAGAAATTGAGGACTTGTATGTGCTAGAGCCTTGCAAATAGTCGACCTAATAGAGATTGTTAGAGCCGTTGGTTATGTAAGTTCAGTTGTGGTATGCCATTTGCCTTTGGAATGATGGACTTGTAGCTAGACCTTTCGGTTAGGATAGAGTTGTGGAATGTCATTTGCCCTGTTGGTTACCAAAAAGCAACTGTTTTTTATGGAAGAGCCCAAGAATCAACCATTTGGGCTCAGTGTGTAAATAGATCCTTGAAGTTTTGATTTGTAACTTTAAGTCTTGATTAGACTTTTGATTAGAGGGTTGGGTCTAGGCCTGCAATCGAACCGAACATGAACGAACAGGCCCGTTTGAAAATCGTTCGATAAACATGTTCGATTGTTCGTGTTCGTGTTCGAACGAACACAAGATGTGTGTTCGTGTTTGTTCGATTAACAAAAAGCTCGTTCGTTTTCGTTCGACTAATTTGTTCGACTAACTCGTTCGATAATTTGTAAATACTTGTTCGAATAACTCGTTCGATAACTTATAAATACCTGTTCGAATAACTCGTTTGAATACCTGTTCGAATAAAAAATATACACCAACTTTCCAATTGATGCTCTAAAAAAAAAAATATGCAACAATTTATAATTCATACCCATTTAATTCAACATTTGAAAATAAACCAACTCTCTATCTATATTTATATTTTAAACAAATCAATAAAAACTCAGTAAATTAAAATAACTAACCATCATAAATAATAAAACTTCAAAATAAATTTAACAGAACAATAAATCGTTCAAAACAAATTTAGTTCCATATCAAACATGACACAAACAAAAAGAATTTGTTTACATATATATTTATTATCATNACTTTAAGAAATTGAGGACTTGTACGTGCTAGAGCCTTGCAAATAGTAGACCTAAACAGTGCCAGAAGACTTCTAAATGGTTGACTTCATAAACAGTGCCAAAGCATTTGGTTAAGGTGGACTTATTATATGTCATTCACTTTAAGAAATTGAGGACTTGTATGTGCTAGAGCCTTGCAAATAGTCGACCTAAACAGTGCCAGAAGACTTCTAAATGGTTGACTTCATAAACAGTGCCAAAGCATTTGGTTAGGGTGGACTTATTATATGTCATTCACTTTAAGAAATTGAGGACTTGTATGTGCTAGAGCCTTGCAAATAGTCGACCTAATAGAGATTGTTAGAGCCGTTGGTTATGTAAGTTCAGTTGTGGTATGCCATTTGCCTTTGGAATGATGGACTTGTAGCTAGACCTTTCGGTTAGGATAGAGTTGTGGAATGTCATTTGCCTTGTTGACTACCAAAAAGCAACTGTTTGTGTTTTTTTATGGAAGAGTCCAAGAATCAACCATTTGGGCTCAATGTGTAAATAGATCCTTGAAGTTTTGATTTGTAACTTTAAGTCTTGATTAGACTTTTGATTAGAGGGTTGGGTCTCCTTGACAAAAGCGGTTAATTATCTCCTCATTGTTTTCTTCTTATTATGTGCAACTAATATAATGTTTACAAAACCTTACCCTTCTCTTTTGTTGCCAAAATTAAAAGTTTTGTCCCTTTTGGTTATTGAATTTGGGCATGGAATGTGCTTATTAGTGACTATAACTATGGATTAAAATATTTATGCAAAAAAGGTAATCTTTTACTAATTATTCATTCTACAAAAGGAAAATACCACCTTTCTTTGTACAAAAGGAAAATACTACCTTTCTTCTTTTTAATTTAATCAATGTTGTCCCTCTTACAAGATGATCATTGGTACCATATTAATACCATAAGGCAGTGTATAAATTCCAAAGAGAGGTTCGATTTAAATAATAATTACTAAACATATTAATATATATGAGCAAAAAGAATTCATAGATAACATATTTATGCTGCCCGAGCGTGATATTGCTTTGGTAGAATACTGCTAATATACACATTTTTATTTACAAACTGATGGAATATAACTTTTTTATTTACAAAATATTCATTTACATGTATAAATATTTATCTATTCTTATTGTGTTATAATAATTTGCATAAATAGTTTAGGCAGAGGATTTGTATACATATTTTACTTTAAATTAGAGATGGATTAATTAATATGTAAATATCTCGCAATTTACATAAAACGAAGTTAACAGTCAACAAACAACTCTAACTCATAACCACATAAAAATAATATTAGAGACGCTTCCCTGCAAGAAGGAGAGAGATTGTTGCGGTCCAATAGTTTGCTCAATAGTCAATATGGTTGCAAACTTATCTTTAGCAAATGCAGTTATGTTCTACGAGGAACCTTATTGGTTTGATTACACTATATTGCAAAGACATAGGGAAATAAGTTCTATATTTGTTTCAACAAGATGGTTATGGTACGTGCTTTGTTCTTGAGTCTTGCATGAGATTAGACTATGCCTTGGGCAAGAGTCCGATCATGTATTGTTGGGAGAAAACTAGAAGTCACAACTATTCGTTAACCTTATCACAAATGTATATACATCTAACTATAATTATAGATATTTTATCAAAATTATTAGATTTATCTAGAAAATAGTATGGTGGATGCAAATATCTACAGACATATGAGGTGCGGTGAGCAGTGACGATTTGTGATTTAGCAGTGTTTGCTTACCAGCCCCACTTGGATTCGTGTGATTCCCAGAATAGGACAGGGGTTAACGGCTAGCTAATAAAACTGAAATTCAATAAGACACGTGGCTCAATATCTTTGTTCCAAAAATTTGTAGAATAGGTCATAAATCACGTGACAATCTGCTATTTTATAATTTATACTACTAGGAAGCCACCATAACATTTCTCAGTTTTTTGAAATCTCAAGAAATAGCTTAGACACAAGAGAGACTTGTAAACATGCCTAGTAACGGTGCATTAGAAGAAACAAAGGTTCCTTTGTTAGAAGATTTATCATCATTTTCACCTGTCCGCTCCAAACATGAACAAGATGATCATGAAGATCAAGATTTTAAAACACGGTTTTCGATTGAATCAAAGAAGTTGTGGTATATAGTTGGTCCAGCCATCTTCAGCCGCCTCGCTTCCTACTCTATGCTCGTCATCACCCAAGCCTTTGCAGGTCATTTGGGTGATCTTGAACTTGCTGCTATCTCCATCTCCAATAATGTCATCGTTGGTTTCGACTTTGGTCTTTTGGTACTCTCTAAATCGCTCAATACAAATTCTTTGTTTCTTGCTCATAATTATTTGCATGTGCTTATGGTTTAATTTGTTTATCAGTTGGGAATGGCAAGTGCTTTAGAAACGCTATGTGGACAAGCTTATGGCGCAAAAAAGTATTACATGTTGGGTGTGTACATGCAACGTTCATGGATCGTGCTATTCTTGTGTTGTGTTTTGCTTTTGCCTTTGTATCTATTTGCCTCACCATTCTTGAAGGTGTTGGGCCAGCCAAAGGATGTTGCAGAGTTATCTGGGGTGGTTGCTATGTGGATGATACCTCTTCATTTCAGCTTTGCGTTTCAGTTTCCTCTACAGAGATTCTTGCAAAGCCAACTTAAGACTATGGTGATTGCATGGGTGTCTTTGTTGGCCTTATTGGTGCATATACTTGTGAGTTGGCTGTTTGTATACAGGATGGAACTGGGTGTGATTGGTACAGCTGTTACTTTAAATTTTTCTTGGTGGGTTTTAACGATTGGTCTCTTTGGTTATGTTTTTTGGGGTGGGTGTCCTCTCACTTGGAATGGTTTCTCCATTGAAGCCTTTTCTGGTCTTTGGGAGTTTGTTAAACTCTCTGCTGCTTCCGGTGTAATGCTATGGTACCATTCTCTCTCAATCTGAAACCCAAATTTAAGTCGCCTCATAAACAAACTTTGAACTAATTTTTCATCTTCTTATGGAGTTTTTATATTGCTAATAATTTCTGAATTCTTTTTTAATAATCTTATTAATTGATTATTATGTCTTGCAATTTATAATACTCTCAGCTTGGAGAATTGGTACTATAGAATATTGATACTGATGACCGGAAATTTGAAGAACGCAGAGATCGCTGTTGATGCTTTATCGATATGGTATGTTTTTCACATAATAATTAATTAATTATGTTCTATATTTATTTGAACTTTATACGGTCATCTTATGCAGTATGTTCAATCATTTTTACGTTTTTTAATATTTGTTTTGACACAAATTGACATCTTACCAAAATAAATGAATAATTAATGGACTTATTCGTGGTTCCGTTTCTGTCTTGTACACAAACTCTTGGCTGTATGATAACTTTATGTTGATTTGTGAACCGATATTGTTTGTTTCTTTTGTCAGCATGGCAATAAATGGATGGGAGATGATGATTCCATTTGCATTCTTCGCTGGAACCGGGTAAGACCTCACATTTATTTCCCCCTTCTCTCTCAATAATCTTATAAATTCCACAGTGGAGCCCTTGGCCAATGGCCCACTGATGACTGATTATGCCACCACATCTAAATCTATGGCCTCTCCTTCATACATATCTCTTGATCTTAGAGCACAAATTTGTAAATGGTTTAATTAGGAGGTAGAGGATGTGCTTATCACTTCTGGGCCATCAATACTTTACAATGTTTTTTTACTTGCTCCTCCATGCAACTTCAATTGATTACTTAATTATGATGAAACGTGAACGTCCGAATGCTCCAAAATGGCTAGACCCTTAAATAAGTGGCCCTTAATCAGATATATAGATAGACCAAATATATGGTGTCAATAAACTTGCAATAAACAACCATCCTATGTTTCTTAGCTTAATAGCTTTCCCGGGGCAGAAAATTTGTCTTTAGCTCATCAATTTGCATAAATGACATACATGTCAATATCATTCAGCATCAATCTTAATTTATAATTTAGACAACAATTCTGAATCAATACAACCATCATTATGTCTGGACCCAACCATTGAATTAGACTTTTCTAAAGGTCTAGATTGGTGGCTGATGTATCTATTTTGCATTTCTTCTGTTTTTCTTATCATAAACAGCATTTCTTCGGAGAAAAGAAGGAAACACTTGCTAATTTATTCCAAATGAATTAGACATATTTATAATAATATATGCTATGAGTCAATAAAACAGGTCTGCTTGTTTTCAAGTGTATTTTGTTGAAGTATAATTAAGGTTTAAATTAGATCGTAACACACAAGAAACTTGGACAAACTTAGAAAACAATAATACTGAGGTTAAGTCTTAGTAGTGACCCAGATGTCGTTTAACGCACAGGATGGAATGCTAATTTTCTTGTAAAACAATTTTCAAGTTTCTCGTCATCAATTTCGTCATCCAGTTTTTTTTTTTTTTTTTTGGATTTCTCTAATTCATTGAACCAGGGACAAGTTGATAGTTAAAAACTGTATAATTAGACAGCAAATTAGTGACAACTGCTCTTTTAATTTCACACGTGAGCTCATGTTAATTAGTGTGTATATACTATGTTAGGCACAATTAATAAGCTCCAAGTGATTATATTTACTTATTATAAATTATCAACGATCTATATATGAAGATTTTTCTAGAAATTTACCCTTCTATTTTGAGCGAACATTCTAAAGAAATATGTTTTCCAGAGTAGATCATAGACTAGAGATATGTAATTTGTTCTGTACGTGGACAAGAAGTTAAACCTACGCCTTTTGTTAAGGTGTACAAAATAAATTATCCAAATCAGGTTATTTTTTTTCTATAGGATACAGATTTTGACAAGTTGATTAATAGATTTTTGTTTTCTATACTTTGTTATAGTAAGACAGATATAGATAGATGTATAATTTCAGTCAGTTATATTGGTGTAAGCTGAATTAATTGATGTTTTTTGTTTTAATGCTTGTAATACTAAAGAGTACGAGTTGCTAACGAGCTTGGGGCTGGTAATGGGAAAGGAGCCAAATTTGCTACAACAGTTTCAGTAGCGACATCCGTCGTTATAGGCCTCTTATTTTGGTTATTGATAATGATCTTTCATAATGAACTTGCTTTGATATTCTCTTCAAGTGTACCTGTCTTACAAGCAGTAAACAAACTATCTGTTCTCTTAGCATTCACTATTCTACTCAACAGTGTTCAACCAGTTCTCTCAGGTTAGCTAATCAATATTCTTTTAGATTTCTATTTATATACAATAACTTTTATTCTTTCAAGTGAACAATTGTTACATGTTTTTTCATTTTTGATCATTTATTCTTATAGGGGTGGCCGTAGGATCAGGATGGCAATCCTTTGTGGCTTACATAAACTTGGGTTGTTACTATCTGATTGGAGTGCCTCTTGGATTTGTGATGGGATGGGGCTTTCACCAAGGTGTTATGGTATGTGTACTGATTTGGTTTCTGTACATTTTGCTCTTATAATTTTATGCATAAGTCACTGAAAAGGAACATACATAATATAAAGATAATGAGAGAATCAGACTTTGCAGCCTATCAATGTCATGCATATTAACATATGTGAAACATTAACATACATATGACAGCTAGAGATTTCAAATGGGTCATTTTTCCATCTTTTTAATGTTAATAAAGACATTAATTAATGTTGTGCCTATTTTGTTCATATCATGTGCTAATATTGTGTTACTTTAAAAAAAATTAATATATATATATATAGAGAGAGAGAGAGAGAGAGAGAGAGAGAGAGAGAGAGAGAGCAACTTGACCCATTTGACACCTCTAATGGCAGCTCAGCGCATTTACATTATGAGTTCAAGCTTATACCATCGTGCATCTGCTAAATAAGGTTTCGAAATTATATATGTTGTATAAATACAAGCGTATCAATTAATAGAAAGAAAAGAAGACATACCAATATCCAATGGCGTAGTTATTTAAATACATTGTCATAATAATTATATATAAAGTTCTTATTTTTTTAATTTTTGTAACCTAAAATGTTAGGCTTATACGATTATATAAGGATGTTTAATATTTAATGTCCGATAGTAATATTATTAGAATAAAGATAGGTTGACAAACACTTTTTATAATTTTCTCTTATAAATACTGAAGTGGAAACTCGCATTTGGTAAAACAAGACCAATTATTAGGCAAGCGAGACCCATTAAAAATTGAACAATTACGAACTGATACATCGCGTTTGTGAGAAAAAATTTATAAGAAGAGTTTATGAATATAATATTACTGATATTATTAACACCGTGAGTAATTACTAGTGTTACATTGAATATGCAATAATATTATGTTGCTGACACTGCAAATCAAATTATATTGAACCCGAATATAGGGAATTTGGGCTGGAATGATTTTTGGAGGGACAGCAGTTCAAACCTTGATACTGGCGATAATAACCATGAGATGCGACTGGGATAAAGAGGTAATTTAAACTTCTCTACATTTTGCAATCCCATTTTCTTTAGGTACACATGGATATTATTTAGCTTAATTTGGACTTTTACCTCTTTTTTTTTTTTCTTTTTTTTTTAAATCACAAATCAATATAATTGATCTTGACATTGGAAAGGTTACATAGAAAATTTACTTCATTAAATATTAATGATGTATATGATTAAAATATTTAAGAATTAGTTTATATTATTTATCAATTATAAAATCTGATCTAAAAGTTCAGATTGATATGACAATTTTGATCCTATTTAACTTCTTCTTTTTTTTTTTTTTTTTTTTTTTCTTTTTTTTCATTTATGGGAGCTGCAGGCTGAGAAAGCAAGCCTTCATGTGAGGAAATGGTCAGAAACAAACTAATTCAATAAGAACGCAGGATTTATTTGACTGAATAAAAGGATGAATCGCCAAGCGATCTGAATGGCTAGGCTTCATTGCCTACTAAATTTTGATTGGCCTCAAATTGCCAAATCTGTAAATGTGGTGCTAGTATTCAATGAAATTATAAAATATCGTATTGTTTTTTAATGTCATTTTTCTAACTAATTGAAGGGAAAATTATTATTCGTACCAGTTAACAAATGACGTGGTAGAAAAATGGATTCCATAATTGTATTGTTCTTCGCATTTAGTTTATATACAATAACAAGGCAAAACAGAATTGTAACTAATAATTTTACAACTGTAATCCACATAGTAACTAACAAAATTTTCTAAGAATAAAACTAATTCTAATTTGGTAATAATTCAGCACTTGATGCTGACTTTAGTCAATTGGAATAAACAACAGCTATAGGTCTCCACCAATTCAACATAACAGGATGATCACAACATCACAGCTACAACAGTTCTGCAGTCTCGTCATATAGATTCCCACCAATGAAGACACAATCAGCTCGATCAGAGCATCACAATTATAGATTTTTCTTATAATATTGCAGTAACTCAAGCTCAGCAACTTGATTATAATAACACAAAAAAAATTAATCATTTAGTGGCACAAAAACAACTTTCCACCAGAATTTCAGCCTTTTCCTCAATTTTACAAAAGAAAAAAAAAAAGTTTCCATCAAAACTTCAGTCTTTTCCTCCCTCAGTTTGTAAGAGAGACGATACAACAGTCAATTTATTTCGTAGACAAGAAAATTGAGCCGCATCAAAACGTTTTGCGAGAATGTCAGCTCACTATGTAAATATTGAATACTAATTTGATTGGTTGTAACTTACTCTCTTACATAATGAACATCGATCTCAATATGTTTGGTCTTAGCATGAAAAACAAAATTAGAAGCTAAAGACTTAACACTGAGGTTATCACAGCAGAATATAGGAAAAGAAATTAGATCAATTTCTAGTTAACCAAATAAACTTCTAAACCAAGCCAGTTTAGTTGTTGATTGAGCTAGAGCTTTGTACTTAGCTTAAATGGAGGATAGTACCTTTTGTTTTCTTGAGCTCTATTGTACCAAATTAGACCAAGAAGGACATAACAACCACTTGTAGATCTTCTTTCTTGTATACAACTAGCCTAGTCAACATCTACATAAAACTCTTAGGGTGCGTTTGGTTTCGATAATATTTTATTACAAAAAATATAAAATTACCAGTGAGATGACCTTGAAGATTAATGGGTATAAATTATTATTATATTTGATTCATGTGGGTTGTATAAATAATTAATGTGTTTGGTTGGCAGTAATTATAAAATACTTAAACATTATTTTACTGAAATGTCCTTTACAAGACTAGTAAGAAGTCCTTTGTTCTAAATTATTTTGTGAATATATAGATTCAACCTTATTACTACTTACCAAGTTGTCGGGGGAATCCTCTTTGTGAAATTGCTTTGTAAGTCACCTATCAATGATTGGTTCCTAGATTATGAATACTTCTAGCAATTCGCCACAGATTTGCAGTTTTGTTTTATATGAATGTGAAAATTTATTGAAGTTCTTGCCATCATATTATGACCTTCCTCTTAATTCCATCAAGGTTAATAGTTCTACTTTTTAGTACCATTTTGAATTACATATAATAAAAGCCAAATCAATGAAAATACTGACAATTCGTTAGATTGAAAATTTTGACCTGTAGCCACTACAAGAAAAATGGCATTCGGCATCTAGCAAAATTAGACGTAGATTGTTCAATTTAGATGCTGATTGTCTAGTGTGTCTTAATTTATGTAGTCACCAGGTAGTTACAGAATCGTTGCCACAGAAAGAATGGACAACTAAATATTAGGTTAGACGCGGAAAGTTTTTTTTAGTGACTAGCAATTTAGTTATTAATTGTTGTTTGAAATAGTCTTCCAGCTTAGACGCCGAATGTGTAAAGGTAATTTGGTAAAATTATATCGTGACTAATCAATTAGTTGAAGAATATACCTTTTAATGAGAAAAAAATTAATTGTGAATTCCAAAAAATTTAAACGCTAAATGTGTAAGGGTACTTTAATAAAAGTGTTTCGCAACTACTCTATTAGTTGAATAATGTATCTTTTATTGAGCAAAAAATTTATGGTAAATTCCAATAATTTTAGACGCTAAATGTTGAACCCAAATCTAGTAAATTATTTTCCACTACTCTAAAATTAGTTGTAGAATGTATGTTTTTATGAGAAAAAAAATAGTGGCAAAAGCGTTTCCTTTTTAGTTAGGGAATGTGTATGTCCAATTTGGTTTCTTACATTCCGTAACTAATGATTTAGTTATTAAAATTAATTTTTTACATCTAAATAATATAGTAACTAATTGTATATGAGTTTTGAAATTGACCTGGTTTATACATTCAACATCAACAAAATAAGAGTGATACAATAGAAAAATTTGGATCAATAACAACAAATATCTTCATTGCATGTAAAATTAATAGACCATACATGGATTTTTGTTTTGCTAAACTCAGAGAAATCCCTAATTAACCTTGCAAATGAATGTCAGCAACATTTAAGAAGTAATGGGATTCTCTGCTTTCTCCGCTAATAACTCCAACATCAATCCGTGATCTCATCCCTGAAAAACATTGCTTAGAGTATTACAACTGAAAAGGCATATGATCCAGTGAGCCATTTGAATTCTTCTACAGGTAAAAGCTTCTCCACTCTTTTTTTGATTTTGAAGTGGCATGGAGTTAAAAGGGGCAAGTGATACCTTTGGCTATGCATTCAATGGCTTCGTGAGGATCATATTTCCTACCAAAATAGATGACCACAAAAAACTTAGATCTAGACGGTATTATATATCCGAAAAGCCCACCAAATCAAAACCAAATTAGAGGGGGACAAACTTACCAACCAAATGTTCTTGCAAAATCAGATCATGTGCCTAGGGGATGAGTTGTAGAAAGGTACAACATTATTATAGATACCCTTGAGAAATCCATTGCAAGGAGTTAATGAATCTACATGCATCACTTGGCAAAATAGAAAGCATAAGAAGCAGTAACTAAATCTATTGAATGCCATGGAGATAACTTACACTGAAAGCAGTTGAATGAGCAGACTCTCTATCATGACTGCTTAGAGCATCTCCAAATGACTCTTTATATGACTCAAACTCTTTATTATAAAAAGTCTATCCACAAAATTATAAGTTCAACAGACTCTTTATCTTTTAAATATAAATTAAAGAGTTGGTTTGACTTTCCACATCTAGAGTCAAATCTCACACTCTATCCTAATTTTAATTAATAAACTACAAGTTTCTATATATTTTATTTATTAATTCTCTCTCCTATTAAGTCTCTTTCTTGAAAATAAAGAGTATCTTCATTAAATTTAAATAATCCATTGGATTTGAATAAAAATTTTATTCTTTATATTTAGAAATGAATGAAGATGCTCTTTATTTATGTAAAATATGTTTTTTAAAATAAAGACCACTATTGGAGATGCTCTAACTGTTTTCTAGCCCAAAAGAATCCATTAACAACCTGTCAATCATAAAGCAAGATGCAAGTTACATTCTATCTGCTAGACATACAAACATTAGTAAAAAGAAATGTTGAAGTCCTGACACCATTTTACTGCTTTTCAAATACTTTTCTCAGCCCAAAGCTTACAATAAACATATTTCAGTTCAAACCTGGTTTAACCAGGGCCTATGACAACAGAATACAAGGCCATTTATTTGAATAATTGTTGAACATATTTCTTCCTTGCTATCTATCTATCTAAGCTCACATAGAAAGTTCATTAGTTACCACTACAAAAAAATCAATGATCTCTTACTGAGTTGCAGAAAAAAAAAATATACACTCAAATGCACAAAATAGTGAAATTAACATACTATTTGAAAGAGAAACAAACTACATCTGATGAAGAGTTCCATCTCCTCCAACTGCAAGTACAGCGTCAGCACCCTCCCTTATAGCCTGCACACCATGGGACTTGTAAATAAAGGTGGAAAGTGGCCCGACCTGGGCAATTTACAGGTCTGGCTCGTCGGCAAGTGTGGGCCAGGTTAGGCCAGCCTGACCCGATTTTTGTGCTCAAATCGACCCACCAAAAAAAATAATTTTTAGTTTTATTATTTAATGTTTTTGTCTTTTGTGTAATTTGTTTTAGTTAACTTTTCAAATATCAATTAAATTAAATTAATTTTTTTTTAGTTAACATTTCAAATATTAATTCAATTTTAATATAATTAAATTGTAATATAAGAAAAAATAGATTTATTCATTTATCAAAAAATAAAATAAGAAATAAGAAATTACAACAGTTATTACCTCGTTAAAAAACTTACCAAGAAAAACTCAATTAGGACAAAAACTTGGTAAGGAAAAAAGAGTGCAATAATTGACAGTTAATTTACAAATTACAAAGTTACAATTTACAAAACAACTAATTTGAGAGATTAGGACATCCCTCATCGGTATCATCTAAATTATAAAATTGAAATGATTCTATTAAAATATCGTCGAAACCTCGAATTGATCCTGATGGAGTGACCGTTCCAATCTTGAAGACATGTGAGGACTTCAACCAATTTTAGTGAAAGTTTAGTCCTCCTTTCATTTAAAATTCTTCCACTTGCACTAAATGTTTGTTCAGATGAGACAGTAGAGACAGGAACATAGAAAACATCCAGGGAAAGCCTTGATAGTACCGGAAAAATATATTTTATGGTTTTCCAATAATTTAAGACATCAAAGTTGGCTATTTCTTGTAGATCTGCTAATAACCCAAATATTGATGAAGCTCATTACTTTGCAGTTACAGGGAGGAGATTATGTTCGTTGTTGATGCTTCTAAAGAAGAGGTTGCTTCAGGTTCGGGTCTTCTTCAGCCTATCAATTACACTCCAAAAATCGAAGTCTGCATTTGTGTCTTGTGCTGGTTCTTCCTCGAGTATTGTGCGTCTTCGCTGGTTCCCATACTTGCTTTCATATTGCAAATATACCTCTCCAAGACACTCTCTTATATGTCATAGTTGATTGGCATAGTCTTCTTCTTGTAAATTTTCACTTAACATGTTTAAACTTGTTCTAAACCCACTAATTTAAGCCTCAGATCAAATATGACAGCT